CTGCTTGTTTAAAACAAGAAATTTCGTTACATAATCCGTTATATTGAGACCTATTTTTGGCATAGAAAGTGATCCAATTGGAGAATGATATCTGAATCAAAGTTGTAGCCAAATGAGTTATCTTTCCAACGCATTTTAAATCGCCTCAATTGGACATCGAAATACAAAGTTATGATAAAAATATTGAAGAAAGGTGCAGCTATCTGTTTAAAACAAAAAATTCCGTTACATAGTCCGTTATATTGAGACATATTTTTGGCATATAAAGTGATCGAATTGGAGAATGATGTCTGAATCAAAGTGTAGCCAGATGAGTTAGCTTTCCAACGCATTTTGAATCGCTTCAATCGAATATCGGAATACAAAGTTATGATAAAAACACTGAAAGAAGGTGCAGCTGCCTATTTAAAACAAAAAAAATGATGTCTGAATCAAAGTTGTAGCCAGATGAGTTAGCTTTCCAACACATTTTGAATCGCCTCAATCGGATATCGAAATACAAAGTTATGATAAAAACACTGAAAGAAGGTGCAGCTGCCTATTTAAAACAAAAAATTCCGTTACATAATCCGTTAAAACAACAAATTCCGTTAGTTTTTCCGTTAAACCAACAAATTCCGTTAAATAGGCATTTTTTATATATAGAAAGATTTATGATCATTGGTAGCTGTGATTTTTAACCATTGTCTCTCATGGTGGGACCCAATTTTTGAAAAAAAGGGTCAATTTTTTCATTTTTTTCCCTACAATAATGCAAAACAAACAGGGGCTAAGTGTGTATGATTCGATTATAATAAAAACCTAACAATTCCGATATTAATGCAATAATCTACCTATTGAACCAAATGTTATTTTATGCAACAATAGAACCAAATCAAACCTGACAAGTAATGTTTGATCACTTATGTTTCTGGTAAATATTACGTAGCTAAAACCAAGAATCGAAAAAGTAATGTTCGTTTTTCAATTTTAAGAACAAAAACTCATTAATTTAAGGGAGAATTGCAACTGAGGTCCCAAATCTTTTAAATTATTGCAGATTATATCCAAACATTAAATTTTGGCACTCATAGTCTCAAACCTTTCATCTTCATTGCAGTTGAAGGAAAAATGGACGGATTCTGTTAATCAATCCAAAGAAAATAATTTTACCAAATTTAAAAGGGCAGAGTTGTAATTTTATATTTATACAATAAAATAATTAACAAAAAAATAAAAACAAAAAAAATGAGAAAAAATAAAATGAAATTATAATTGTTCGTCTTAACCAAAGCACCCAACCTCCACCTATCCCAGCATGGAAGACAATTTAAAATTATAATTGTTCGTCTTCCCCAAAGCACCACACCTCCACCTATCCCAGCATGGAAGACAATTTTGAATTTTTGATCGATAATGAATTTCCCACTTCCATAAACAACATTTATAAAGGGAACACAAACTAACAATTTGCAGCATAAAAATCAATTGAACATTATGAAATGTAAATTAAAGTTTAAAAGGAAAATAAATACAATCATACTAGTACATAAATGGTTGACAATTGTTTTGACAGATTGCCAGCTGATAAGACTTGAGTGTCGACGGACAAAAAATACAGTTGAATCAGCCAATGCAATGTTACACTTGTACATCTGTAGTGCTTTCTGTAAATTTCATTTGTACAAGGAGTTTAATTCAAATAAATAACAATGGAACTTCTTTAATAGCTTTTTCATGGAGTCGCTGAGACAACTTCAATACCTTGATCTTAAATTGCACTTTTACCGATTCCTCTATCTTCAAACCACAAAATCATAATCAATATATCATTGTTTCACACATTAAAACGGCCTTATGTATTTTTTAGCAATTCTTGAGAAATGGCAACATTTCATATTATAGCACAACAAAAATTTAGTGGATCCAACAAGAGATATTGACCTTTGGCTTCATTTTCAAGGCGAGTGAGCTCCAAAGATTCGAGTCGTGGAGCAGGTCTATGAAGTCATTAGAGTCATATTAGGTTGGAGTGATGCCCTCTCTTGCGATGAGGAGCCTTGCTCAACTCCTTGAATGACAACGATGATGCTAACGGTATCATCGTCAAGGCCATACTCGGCGGCATTTGGTTGGTTAGTGGGGTGTGTAGGGATGGGGTGCTTTGGGAAGATGAACCGTTACAATTTTATTTATATATTCTCTGTCTTTTTTTTTTATTATTGTAAATTGATTTTTTGGTTTAACTAATGGTTAAATGGAGGAATCCATCCATTTGTCCTCCAACTGTAATCAAAATAAAAAAAATTGGGACTGAGTGTCAAAATGAAAGATTTGGATATAGTCTGAAATAATTTAAAATGTTTGGAACCCTAGCTGCAATTTCCTGTTCGATTCTAATAATTTTTTAGAAAAATACTATGTGCGGATATTTTTAAAAAATAATGTACAATCCTCACCAACCTTAACCTACTATTCTAAACTTGTAAAAAAAAAAAAATACTTAAGACATAAAATGTATTTTAGAATAGTGTTTGAGCCCCATTTTTTGATCAATATGCATTTTAAAATAATATTTTGTTGAAGAATATATGGTTAAAAAATAGATTTATATATATAATTATTTTATTAAAGAATGTATAATTGAAAATGAATTAAAAAAAAAAAAAGGAGGCCAAACAAGGCTCTTATGAAAATACTTGGAGGCTAATAAAGAAAAGGCAGCTGTGACACGAAAGGGCATTTACGTCCTGGAGAAGTATTAACGGCTCTTTACGCTACGCGATGTATAGGTAAAGTTAACCCACGGGACACCAAATGATCCGGGTTTGCTTCTGGGCTACTGTAACGGACATTTTCAAATTATTGCACCTACTCCATTGAAATAACAAGTCTGTTGGAGTCTATTTTTTGTCTAAAATATTTTTTAAAATAATATTTTGATAGAGAATATGTAGTTAAAATAAATAAAAAAAAGAAAAAATTTTTTTATTTACATATAATATTATGTTATTGAAAAATTGTGATAAAAAATAAAATAAAATAAATGCATTTTAAAAGTAATGGAACCATACGGGCGAAATCATGAACTTATCCAATAGAATGGAATATTAAAAAAAGAAAGAAAAACCAAAAGAGGAAAGAAATAAGAATGTATTTTTTCTTGTTTAGTTGACACGACTTTTATCGGAAAATTGTAGAAACGTGTACTTTAGGCTACTGTAACAAGAGGAATTTTGCTTCTTCTTTTTTTCTTTTTCTCTTCGACTAGTCTGAAGACGTAGAGTTTATTACGAAAATTTGCATTCACACGACACATCAAGATGGAAGGTTTCTAGAGAATAAATTTTGTGAAAAAATGATTTTCTTGAAAAATGTATGGTTAAATCTATATTGGTGTCAGTGAACACATTGAACTATCTATTGTGTAGCTGATAGCTCTCACAGTCCAATAACTTTTGTAAGTTATACACATGGCTAACACTGACTAACTTGCTATGAATGAGTCATACCCGCATGTGCCACACAACGTGCGCCCCAAAGCCCGAGCCCAAGGTTCTAAGGGGATTCATTTGATATGATCTTTTCAATCCAATGGGTCAACATCGAAGTGTTGTAGATCATCCCAAAAAGATTTAATGTGAATCTACCAGATTGCATGTCAATACAAATTATAATAATATTTGATAAACAATGGTGTCATCAATAATTCACGTGGGAGTAGATCATAATCACATTCTCTGACTAATTAAAATGCAATCCAATTTTTTTAAGATAGTGTAACAATTACCTTGCACATCACATTCTCCACAATACCACAATCGATTGCTCCATGTGGATCCAATGTCTTGGTTTCATGATTATTCCACAAGCAAGGTAGAGTTTTGTAGGTAAAAATAATTGGTAAAAGGTGGCATTGCCAGAGAATAGAAGAAACATGACATGTGTGGGTTATAATGACACCAAAACTTGTGATACACACCAAAACTACTACATTAGTTTACTTATAAAAGGGTGCAATGATTTAATCTTTTCATTGTTTAGTTGCTATTTTTTAACATTATCTTCTTGTAAATTATCCTTAATAGTTAAAAGTCAATAATGAAGTATCTTAATCAATAGATCATAAAGCTTGTTAGTTAAAAATTTTATAATTTACTAGCTTCGGCAGTTTGTCAAAATATAATCCAATATCGAACTTGGTAAGATGTCACGAATTCAATTATTTTTACCTAAATAATAGTAGCATGAACAAATGATAACTTAAATAAGAAAATCCAACCCTTCTAAATACACCACACTGATATACATAGGGCTGGGCCTGACAACTACAGCCCGAAAAAATGACCCGACCCGACCCTAAACGGGTTGGTCAATTTAGGGATAAATTCGGGCTGGGTTGGGTAAAATAATTTTGAAATAATTGCGGGTCAGATCGGTTCAGCCTCACAAACCACCCCGACCCGCCTTCTTTACCGCTTGAGAAACCAATTTGCCTTTTTTTTTTCCCAGCTTTGGGCTTTTCTTCAACCTTCCTTTTGATGATACAAGGCATTTGAACCCATTCTTCTCCTCGAGTTGGTCAAGATCAAGATCAACAGCATCACCATCGAGTTGGTCCAGCCAGAAATCCTATGATACAAGGCATGTGAACCCATTCTACTCCTCGAGTTGGTCAAAATCAAGATCAACGGCGTCCCCATTGAGTTGGTCCAAACGGAAATCGTACAATATAAGCATGTGAACCCATTCTTCTCATCTGTCGCCACTGCTTTGTTGGAGTGGATATGCACATCCGCGTCAAGGGTGGTGGTCACACCTCCTAAATATACGCTATATGTCAGTCCATTGACAAGGCCCTCGTCACTTTCTACCAGAAGTACGTGGTGAGCAGTCCAAGAAGGAGATCAAGGGCATCCTCGTGAGGTATGATTAGACCCTACTTGAATCCAAGAATTGAATTGTAAAATTTCAAAATTTCAGATCCGATTTCATAAAACAATTTCAATAAAACAATTTTTTGGGTGTAACGGGTTTCTTCAGCTTGGGTTCTTTCTTGGACTGGCAGACTTAGTTGGTGGATTCTCTTCCACAGTTGGTTCAGCGGCGGCGATCTCGGCCACATGCTCAATGGTGATAATTGGTTCTTCAGTGGTGACCGTAGAAACTTAATTCCAGTATCAGAAAACTAAGATCACCAACAGGCAATTCTGCTTCTTACTAGACCCGAACCGACCTGATTCGGGTGTGGTTGGTTTAGGGCAGGAGCCAGTCGTGTCGATTTTGGGCCAAATCCGACCCGACCCATTGCCCACCCCTAGATATACAGATTAAATCCAAATAGATAGACTTGACTAACAATAAATTCTATAGTTTATAAAAATACATAGTAATGTATGAGGAATGATCTAATGAGTAATGAGCATCTATGTTTATATTATGTTAAGCGATGACATGACATTTCAATTCATTGATGGATAAGTTTATGATGTACCTCAACATTAAATACATTTTTTTTAAACAAAAAACACGTAGATAGCCATTCACAAAACGTTCTAGAACTTGAATTTCTATTTATTTTACATTAATGTTACGTAATTCGAAAACTTTCCATCAAAGGTCGAGTAATTGCGGTGACAATGAACTTTAGACTTTCAAATTTAGTTTGGGTTTGATTCGGCTAAAAAAGTTGATTAATATTTAAGTAAAATTCAATAATTAGTTTTAGTCACACATTTCATGATATTCACAATTTTTCAATTACATTATAATTTTTTAAATCAAAATTTACTTATCTAAATTTTTTTGGAATGTTAAATATTTTATTAGTCACTGAACTTATATCCCCGTCACATTTTATACATTTTATTAATTGAATTTTAAATGCATTTGAGTGGTGACTAAACTTAAACATGTTGAACTCCATCATAAATCGTCGAGCTTTAAAATACTTCTGATTGGTCGTTGAATTTTAACATGTTGCGATCCATCAATCACCCACCATATTTCATCAATCACTTAACTTTTATATTTACTAATTGAACTTTAAAATGGTTTCGAGTAGTGACTAAACTTCATAATCTGAACTTTAAAATACTTTGAGTAGTCACTGAACTTTATAATATTTTTTAGTAAAGTTTATTTTATATAAAAATTGATCTAGATCAAAAAAATTAAAAAAAAATATCAAATAGATAATGAGACTCTCAATTTAAGACGAGAATATCAATTTAAGGCGAGAATATTGATGTTGATCAAGAATATATACATATAATTTCTCTAATTATCAAAAGCTATTTTGAAGGTGATAGAAGAATACTTGTTTCAAATTGACATAAATCTTAATTTAGATTATAATATTCCTTTACGTCGTGAAAATAAAACAAAAAAAAAATCCCTCTTTATTTGATTGAGATCGTAGACACAAATCAAGGAAACAAAATTATATCTCCAATGGGAAGTAAAAATTATCGATTTAGAATCATTAATATTAATTAAAATTAATATAAATATAATTTTTTGAGTTGTCACAAAATGAATTAAGAGAAAAGAAAAACACCGTTCATGTGCACGATATTTTATACTTCAGAATTCTCAATTTTTGAATAATTAGATTCAGTGACCGCTCTTAAACATTTTAAAGTTCATTGAGTAAAGCATGATAAATGTGTGAATTCACTGACTAATAGAATATAGTGAGCGAGTGATGTAGTACAACATATTAACCCTGTTAGGACTTATGTTGTATCGACAATTCTTTAAACAAAATGATTATTATAAAAAAAATAGGATTGTTTTAAAAGAGTTGTAAAAGTGAAGAAATCTTTTGGAGGATTGTATAGATGAACTAAGAGTCTTTGTGTTCGAGTATAGAACAACAAGAAAGAGTCGCAGAATTTACACCAGCCTATCGCCTAGCTATTGCTCGAACGGAAAAAGCAAAATCATTGTCGCCCACATATCGCTCGAGTGACACCCATTACGTTTTTGTTGGATGGTTGATCATTATTATACATCCTTATATCATCATTCAAATGTCCAAGAATATATCCTTGCATTGAGATTAAGCCTTTGATTCTTAGATCAATCAATCACAAGTTGGAAAAAACATCGAAATCAAATAATCTAAAACCCCAACTTCCTAAATATAATCTGAAAAGTATTTTCTCAATAACTTTTAGAGATTGCTGAAGATTGAGGGATGTTGGACCGCAAGAACAAAAAATGTATAAGAATAAGGTGTTCTTGGTGATCCCATGAGATGGACAATTCCAAAAGATCGGGAACATGTGTGAATGAAGCATATTCTAGTGAGTCTTGAAAATTATAGTAATTAGATCAGCAAACTTGTGATTTTTTTTAGGTTGGATTATACTGTAAGTTCTTGTTGTCTATAGTGGAAACTATTGACTTAATCTCTGAGTTTTTATCTACTTAAAGGTTTTCTCTGTCAACAAATTTTGTGTTATTTACTACTTTAAATATTATTGTGATAATTCAATATAAGATAAAATTGATTTGATTGAATAAATATCTAGAACAATTAAAAAAATGACTTGTTATTTTTAATTGATTAGTTTAATTCCGCATTATTCACATATTAGGTAATTTTATGATCGAACTAGTAACTCATAAACACCTTGTTTGCTTCATATTAAAATCTGATTTTAATTTTAAATTAAAATCAATAATTAATTTTAATCACATATTTCATGTAATCCACAACTTTTCAACTACACATTTTATCAACTTATATCAAAATTTATTTTAATTTATACCAAACAAGGGCTAAATTTGAGTGAAATATTTTAAAAGTTCGATGACTAATGAAATATATTGAGTGAATAATGGAATACAATGTGTAAAAATTCAATGATAACTCGAAAGTATTTTAAAATTCTATAAATAAAGCGTGACTAATGTACAAGTTCAATGACTAATTTAAAATTTAAACCTCAAAATTTGTACATGCAATAGTATTATATTCTCACAATTCAGACGCTATTTGGTGAACCCTTTTTTTTTTTTTTTGGGAAAAATATTATTTTGAACAGTGAATTTTTGGAGAACGTGTGATTAAAAAATATGAAAAATTTTGGGTTTAAATGTAGAATATTTTAACGTGTGAATGTGTGTTTAAAAATGTCAATCTTGCTTCACTTATATTTTAGTTGACATTCTATTTTATATTGTACAATGTGGCACACAATATAATCAAATGACCTCGATTTTACCATTTATTTAAATGTCATCCAAATTGTAAATAAACAACATAAAAGTAACATAATTCTAAAAGTAATTCGTGAAAAAAAAAATTTAGAAAAACGAGAGACCAACACTGACACGTGAGAAGAGATCATTGAAAAGAAGAAGAAAAGGAATTCTCTTTCCTTACTAATGAAATTCTTCTTGAATCACTGGTTTTGCGCCTCCACCATTTCCGATAAATAACCAACAAACGGAGATAGGCACATGTACATTATTTATGGCAACTGTTCAAACACGTCAACTCTCCTTCCTTCATATACTTCATCTCAGTCCCCAATTTTTAGTTCAATTCTGAGACTCGCTCAATTAATTTGTGAATAGTAACAATGAGTTTGGGCAACCAATTGTCATCAGTTGTGTTGATTCTGAGTCAAATCGGTTGCAACTCTGCACGACGCAGTTTTTGTATGTTCAAGCCTTCGCCGTTAACTTTGCCAACGCTTAAACGCAGAGCTTTTGCGCCAAAAGCCACAGCTTCCCCGACCGCCGTCGTCGAAACAAAGCCCGTAATTCCTTCTCTCGGATTTTTTTTTCCTTCTTATCTATAAGTGATTATAATTTATTTATGTGGATGCTGTAATGTGTATGTTTATATTTAAATTAACTCAGGCTCAGCTTAGGGCTGAAATTGATGAAAATTTATTCAGATCTGAATAGAATCATATCAAATTAATAGTCTTAGTTCAATTATTAGAATTCAATGACAAATTGTCCCATGTATGAATCGTAAACAGAAACAAGCATGTAACAGTATGTATAATAAATGTTCAATCGCTTGCACATGCACACAGTTGATGGAAGGATACGAATTTGTTAATTTTCTTTCGTTTACTGTAAAAGGGTAGTGATTTCTCTCTGTTACATTTGCTTGATGGAATGATTTAACAAATGCTCATTTACTTCAATTGTAAGATGCAATTGTATACATATCTCAAAATAATAATGTTTCATAGTGGATTTATGCTGTCGATGTTAGGATCCTGTTATGGACGAGACAAAGCTGAACATCCGCAAGAACATTTTAGCTTGTCCTATTTGTTATGAACCAGTAATTTGGAATGGTAATCCCAGCTTATCTTTGTAAGTCAATATCTTCACCTCAGAATATTTTCTGTCTCCCGTTTTATGTAGTCATAATAATTATTTCCCATGTATGCCAGTTTATATTCTTACTGGAAAGTTGGATTCCATTCGTTGATTTTCGTTTGATAATTTCACAGGGAATCTGCAGCTCAGTCTAGTTTGCAATGCAGTACCTGCAGAAAGACATACTCTGGTAACGAGACACATCTCGACCTGACAATAACCGGTGGTGGAAAGGTGTATGGTGAACCTAAGGCAGCATCTACCGAGCTTTTCAGGTAATTCTGTTTGCATTTATAACATTGACTTGTCCATTCCTCAAAAAGTTCTAAAGAAACCTCTTATTCTATATATTTCTAGGTTCAGCGGATCGATATTCTTCTGTTTACTTTGACGATTTCCACTGACTTGATTTTGATTAATATCCTCTGAAGTTCTGATAATCTTCTAATTGCTTTCTTTTTTCTTCTACTCCTGCATTTCAAATTTGTAGGTTTAAATTCTTAAAACGTCTAGATGAATACACAAGTAAATAACAGATATCATCTTTGGGGTGTTCATTTAATCCATTGAGATTAAATGCATGGCTCTGATAGTGCTAGGCATTCAAAGCTTCATTCATTCTAGCTCATAAAATATTGTTATCCACTATCCAGTACAATGTAAACTAAAGAAATACTCTAGAACAATGGTTGACAGGAAGTAGTTGACACTTGCTTCTGAAAGATTACATCGACATTGATATTCACAAATCGGAATTAATTTGAACTTCAATAATCATGATGCTCTTTTCTCACTAGAATTTTTAAGAGACACTAGTCAACAGTACCGAAAATAAGGTGGATACTGTGTTCATCATCAATGACATTTTTGAACTGTTTCCATTACTGATATATTTGTTTTTGCATCACTATAAAGTGAATATGTAATATTTAATTGTGAGATAATCAGTACTTCACCTGGGATTGAAAAAGTTGTTTACAGAATCCAAAGTTTTAGATGCAGCTCTATTTTTTGATAGCTTCAAAGCCTACATATTAGCATGATTATTGTTAGTGACAAATGCACGCTAAACTACTGACACAGTTATACTAATTTATCAATAATGTGAAAATTTTCAAACTACAGAATGAATTGGTTAGTACCACTTATTATGAATGCTAGTTGTTTGTCGTAAACAGGTTTCCTTTGGTATCATTTCTCTATGAAAGGGGTTGGCGACAAAGTTTTTCTGTATGGGGTGGTTTTCCAGGCCCAGAGAAAGAGGTAATCAACAATTTCCTACTACCTTAATTAATTTTGCCTAAAAAAAATGCTTCCCTTTAGCATAGATGTCTGATGCAGTTGCTGATAATTTGCAGTCTACAAGAATGATACAATGGCTGTAAATGGTTTTCAACAATTAAAAAATAAATCAACAAACCACAGATACGAATCAACGCAGAGTAGTAATTTTATATCTCAAGACAAACAATAAACTAATCATATTTCTATGTCATTGACTGCAGTTTGAATTGACCAAAGATTACCTCAAGCCAGTCTTAGGTGGAAATATTATTGATGCCAGTTGTGGGAGTGGATTATTTTCAAGACTTTTTGCCAAGAGCGGATTATTTTCCCTTGTTGTTGCTTTGGACTTTTCAGAGACTATGTTGCAGCAATGTTATGAATTCATGAAGCAAGATGATAACTTTCCAGAAGAGCATGTCTCATTACCTTAATCTTGGTGATTTTTTCTAGCTTACTCTGGCCATTTCTTATACATGTAATCTATCTTCTTCCAGGAACATAATACTGGTTAGGGCTGATATCTCCAGGCTTCCCTTTGCTTCAAGTACTGTGGATGCCGTGCATGCTGGTGCGGCTTTACACTGTTGGCCTTCACCATCGGCAGCTGTAAGCATACCTGAACATCTACTTGCTCAGGCTACTTCTGTTATTATTATGTTTTGTGATTTCATTGGCTGACTGGCATATTTTAATTCTTTAGTGATCATTTATTGAGGTGCAAATGTTTCAATTGAAACCGAAATATAATCAAAATTAGGCAGTCACTTCAGTGGCGGAAATATGTTCACAAACCCCCTTTCTTTCTTTGAAGTTATGTTCTGAAATATACCATAATTGTATGCCCTTAATCTCATTTCGCCATTTCCATTTTGTTTGTAACAATAAGGAAGAAGTTAGGAAGGTGACGAGATGATAAGGGGGCTAGCATTGTTGTGTCAGAGCTTGAAACTTCAGTAAATTTGCTTCATTGTGTCTTAATTGACATTTTTAAGTGTACAAAATGTTGACAGGAATAACCATTCAATTTTTATCATCATTGGATCTGATTCAACATTTCTTTCACTTTTTAACAGGTGGCAGAAATAAGTCGTGTATTAAAACCGGGAGGGATCTTTGTTGCTACAACATACATAGTTGATGGCCCCCTTTCATATGTTCCCTATCGCAGACCTATACGTCAGGTAGGCATCTTAACATTTGAAACTGTTTTTTTCCCATTGCGAAGGAGAGATTTTAAGTACAAAAATGATTAAAGTGGGAGAGTCAGAAATTAAACAATCCTTATCCATATCTATCCTCCTCAACTATACTACAAATTTGTGCATCCCGTGCTATATTAGCATGGTAGAATAGGTGATCTGGAAAAGGTAGCAACACTGACACCTACTAAATGGTGTTTTCTAGATCCCAATTTTAGTTCTTACGCTCAGTTCAATTTATTCTGGAATTTTCTTTTATCTGCAGAACGTCGCGCTACTCTCAGGTAGCCATGTATTCTTATCTGAGAAAGAACTTGAAGATCTTTGCACGTCTTGTGGGCTTGTCGATTTTACATGCACCAGGAACAGAAGTTTCGTGATGATCTCGGCTGCAAAACCCAAATGATTAGTAGTCTGTTCCCTTTGTGTTTCTTGGTGGAATTCAATTGTTAGGACCTTGTATGTAATTGCTTATATTGATGATGCATCAGTTCAGTTAATATTGTGTAATGAAATATACAAAACACAGAACGGATGTACCGTTATGTAATATTTTTAAATTAGCATTTGACAAAATGAATAATGAGAAATTTACATCTACTTTCACAAGGTTAGATTTCTACCGAGTATAGTAGTCAGGTATATTAAAACAAAGCAGATCAAATCAAGTATGTAAAGATAGAAAAACGCACCTGTTAACCCAAAAGAACTATTCCGTTTTTCCCCCATTGGAAAACTTTAGCCGCTGGCTTACCAACGTCTTCTCATCATCGTCATCATACAAATCAAGTCCATCATTATCATAGTGCATGTCAATGGCAACTCTGTCATCAAGACTTTTTGTTTCAGAGGATCGAACTTAAAAGGGGTCTCTTCTGGGACGTGGAGAGTCCAACTCTACGAGTTGCATTTCTGATTCTATCAGAGCTTTCATTTGAGCCCTCTCCCTGTCTCTTGGATAGGTGATATAGAGGAAAGAGTAGATAATGCAACATAGAGCCATTGGGATTGAGACTGCAATGAAAAGAGCCATAGCCAAAGATGTTGCATTCCCTCTGTCTGTGGCAATATCTTCAGAACCTTCTGGGACCGGCTTCTAGCCATAAACATACTGAGCCAGTAGTCCAACAATTGGGGAAGCAAATGATGACAACACGGACTCAAATGATCGGTCCAAAGCATATATACTTGTTCGTGATTTCTCTGGGAGTATCTCTGCAAAAATTGGACTGGCTACAGCATATTATTAAAGCAATTCAGTCAAAACAATAATTCTTCTACTAGTTTGTGGCTGTCCTTGTAAAATTGCTATGCTGAATCTGTAAATTATGAATCCTTGGAAAGGTGGCGAGGCATGATTAAAAAAAGAGGAAGGGAAGAGATGAAGTGTCAATTAGAAGGTTTTACTTGTTTGTCGCTGCAGCATTCCAAGATATGAAAAAACCTGCAATTAACAGGATGAAACCATGCAAGAACATTGTAGATGGATCAGTTGGCAAGGACAGGAAAAGAATCGCTGTGAGAGGAATAGCAGATGCCGAGCTTATCTGGGATAAAATTATCCGGCCAGAATTTGGGAGGCGTTTGGATAGGAACAAACCCCCAAGAGAGTTAGCAACTACGAATATACCTATAAGAATGTCAGTTTTCGTGTGGGAGAAGCCAGTTAACTCCAACCACATTGGTGAGCTGACCATGGAAACGAACCGGTGACATCTTGAGCTACAATAATTTGAAAGGATTGAATATTTATTACTGATTTTGCTTCATGGACAAGAACCTTAACTTCTTCTAACAAGGATCTGTGATGAACTTCATTGCTAGTTCTTACACCACCTTCTGGAAAGTGTGGGTCGTTAGCAAAGATGCGAACTAAAATTCCCACAACCACACTTAGTATACCAACAAGATGAAAAGAAATTCTCCAGCCAGAGATTCCCATAAAAGTAATTGGGGCTATCAATAGTGAAAATAATCCACCAACAATTGAACCAGGTTACTAGTAAGCAGTAGCCATCCAAAAGCCATACCTCGGCTGCTGTTATCAGTTGAGTCAGCCACAAGGGACTGGATGGCAGGTGTAACAATCGCGAGGCCATTCCCATTCAAAGCTCTTGATAAGGCCACCTGGGAAACAAATATAGAAAAACTTATAATGCCATCTGACAAGTTGAAAGGAGAATTCTAGAACTACCGAACTGCTATATAACTTAAACTGAAACATTCGCGCGCACACTTGTAAGTGCAACCCCCCAGCCAACACACACGGATTTCTTCTAAGTTCTTTGACATGGATTACAGTCATTTACATTGATTTGATAAGTGTTAGATCCTTACCTAGGGCTCAACTACGTAGACCTGAAATCCTCATATTATCCAAGGAGGCTAAATTTCTGCATATCAAATTGGAGAGGACCGATGAGTAGACTGTATAAAAACATGTATTTGCCATCTGGTGACTGTAAAAGGATCAATTCATCTAAGAATAGAATGTTGCATGCTTGACCTTTCAAATATTGTGGCTATCTTCACTGTCCTGGTAGCCAATGTACGAAGCACTCGAAAAAAAAAAAAATCTATAAATACATACTGTTTCATGTTGATCCTAGTATACAATCTTATGTGCTAAGATGTCATCTTCTCTATAATATATTTCAACAATTTGCCAGAGTAACACGCCACCTTCTACAGTCTGCCAAATGGGAGACTACTGTCTATTCATATTCCCATTTTCCGACAAAGCTCACGGTATTCTAGGATATCTTCCTATAATTTCTTTTCTAAAAAAATTTCCTACTTCAGCAGTTTCTCATCATCCCATTATAAAACGATTTTTATCTTTTTCAATTCTAATGAATATAATACAAGTACAACGGCTACTGCTGCCAATTGACATTTTGCTGACACTCATGAAATTCATCTCAAAGAAACACCATTCTTAAATATAATTTAGAAGTCTGTACCTAATATCTAATAACCAATAATCACGCAAAAGGCCACAAAGAAAACTCAAAAGTAGTATTTTGCTATGTTAATTTAAAAGCAAGAAATTGTGCCATACAAGTTCACTGGCTCATATGGACTGAGAGCCTGAATTCAATATGCCATACACATTAAAGTGTGCATGCTCTAAGAGAACAAAAACTTTTATTAAGGATTACAATGACAAACTAAGCCTTGTTTTCAACAAATTTGGAGTCGTGTATTATTTCACTAAGGATTATGATATGAAAATTTTGAAATTATATTATTTCAATTAACAGAACCACCGAGTACATGAATCCCGTTTAGACAATGGCCCACAAGTTGACTTCGATCCACCAAGATAGGTACACAATAATAGTAGTACTAATGCAATAAGAGCTCAATCATTTTTTATCCTTGTTTCAGGGTTGATTATTTTATCAATTCTGTAACTAAATGATGCCACATACTCCAGCGAGATCATGGTAGTAGTTCAGATGATGAGCACTTCGCCATATGCACCAAAAATTTCAAGGTTTCATCCTAGTTATATCTCTAAGTACATGACCTTAGAAACAAAACACGTTATAATGAAGATGCACATTGGAACTATACCGTATTGCCTTCAAGTTAGCATGAATCAGTAACAATTCTTAATGTCTACATATAATTGGAACTTTCAATTTGGAAATTGGAATTCAAAAACCATTACAATTCCAAGGAACTTTCTTTCACTTCCAATTTCAACAACAAAAATATAAAAAGATATACCCAGTTATCAAAAATGAATAACTAAGGGAAATCTAACAATGAGCAGATTAATTATTTCTTGTATCCTTTCAATCAAATACATGCAATTATAGACGAATTCAAAATTTATTCAAATCAAAATCCCAAAACATGACCAAATTGAAGAAATTGATCAAAACAAAGTAAAATAACACCCACCTGGAAGAAGGTGGAGGAAAAGGCAACAACGAAGGTGGCTGCGGCCCAAAGGAAAGCCCCATAGGCAATTACGTGCGCCCGGTTGTGCCGAACGGCCAAGTAAGTGGCCAGAGGGTAACAAATACACTGGTCTATTGACCTGAACAGGGTCAATGACCCGAGCCCAGCCGGGTTGGTGTGAAGCGCTTCTCCAACCTCTTTGTATACTCCGGGTAACAATGATTCATCTGCTCTTTCCATTATCCCCGCTATATTTACGAGCACTAGCGTCAGCGTTTCCGGTTTCATTTTCCCTTTTTTTCCTGTCACTTTTTTATCGAAATTTCTGCTGATTTTGTCAAGGGTTTAGAGGGTGGTTTCGGGGGATCCTGATGAAGCGGTGGCGGAAGTATCAACTCTTCCGACAAAAATATGAAATCGTCAACGGTCAGATCCAGAACTAGCATGAATTTTTTTCTTTTCTTTTTTAAAAATCTCTCTTTATGCATAAAAAATTGTTAAAATATATTTGTTCCATTGAGTTAATTAAATTAAAATTAAATTAAGACCCCTTATCTATTTTTGTTTGAACTTTGAACATATAAGATTTTTATAATTTATTTAAACATTAATTTTCTTATTAATCAAAATAATTATTAATACGTTAAGAACCTTCTAATTGTTTTTTTTTTCTTGAAATATTACCTCACTTCTTTTTTCAAATTGGAAAATGACAATTTGGACAGAGCCTAGTCAAAGGCATATGCTGCAAATGTTACGTTTACAAGCTTTGAGGTTGAGGTAAGTAAAGACGCACTATATTTTGACTCGTTTGATAGGAATTTTTAGAAGTTAAAAATTATTTTTAAGATTAAAAAATCATTTTTCCACATATTTGAATAATTTTCTGAGAGTGCTCTGACGAGAAATATTCGAAATATTTTCAACTATTTAAAATCTTCTTTATTTCTTGTGTGACTCGAATACGGAGCAATTTCCCTTGTAAATTTGTAATGTAGGAAATGTGTATAAACAAAATCATACTTCCAAAAGAAAACTCTTTTGAGAAATATAGCGTTTAACTTTGTCTTCGACTCAAATAATATGCTTAAATGAGTTATTCATTTCTACAATTTAAAAATATAAATTGATCATTTAAATGTAATGTCATGAGAGTGAGTAAAAACTATTACCCTTTTTTTATCTATTAATGTGAATATATATTGATCATAAAATGAGTACAACTATTTCGGATATCCTCTAGTAACGAATATCAAAAGATGTAACAACGATTACGATCTAAAGACCAGTCGCTAAAGTTTCAAATTAAATCAAAACATGATTGTACAATGTAAACGTTATCTTGTGTATATACGTATGTTTTAATCCTTTGAATAATGCTATCCATATGCGGCCGTAGATCCTCAAAGATTTTCCTATTCCTAGCTGTCCATATTTTGTAGACGGTGCATGCAAGAGCAATCCTTTTTGCTTTGCTTTGCTATGCTAAGATGTCCCGTGTGCCTCCTTTTTAATCTATTTTAATGCGCTGTCAATAGTCGTCATTGTGTGTGTAATCCCCAGCCATGCTCTAACGTGACCCCAAATGGATGAACTAAATGAACATTGGAAGAATAAGTGCTAGACAGATTCCTCATGTGATCCACATAGTTTGTCTTTGGTTAAGAGCTTTGATTGGGCACTTAACCACAAGATGAATGAATGTTTATGAGCAATGCAAGAACTCCAAACATCCCCAACCCATGCCTTCTTTGTTCCCTGTCAGTCTGAAGAAATCATACGCACGTGAGCTGCTCAAGTTACCTCCAACAACCCACTTCGATAATCTGTCCAAAGCAGCTTGAGCAGTTTCTTCAGGCCGGCCAATTCTGTCCCTAATTTCCAGCAATTTTCTAAGCAACGGGGAATCACCTTTTCTTGATGAAAAGTCCTAGATTGTTGTCCCTTGCAAGTAAACATGATTGATCCAGCGAACCCAAAGTGAATCCTTCTTGTTATGGATGTTCCAAAGTAATTTTGCAAGCAAAGCAGAATTCCAGCATTTGATGTCTCTAAATCCAAGGTCTCCTTCACTTTTTGGAAGGCAAAAATTTGTCCATACTACCAATGACTTTATAGATCTCCAAAGAAAGTTTCGGCAAAGTGTAATAATTCTCGAAGTAACCGTAATTGGAATCGAAAAGATAGACAATCAAAAACATTCAACACCATGAAGCATGGATCTCACAAGTTCAGCTCTCCCCGCATAGGACAGCGACGAGCTTGTCCATGAACAAATATATGCTGAAATTTTGTCTATAAATGAATCATAAGAGCCGACTTTGAGTTTTCCTGCTACAAGTGGAATGTCCAAGTAACGAAATGGCATTGAACCTTCGGTATATTCATTAACTCTTGGATGTCCTCCAAATCTTGCCCATGAATTCCGACTGTATATAGGCTAGATTTGGCAGTATTCATCTTTAGTTCCGAAGTAATCCTAAAGTAAGATAGACAATCCATCAAGATTCGCACTGAAATTATGTCTCTTTTAACATAAACCATCAAGTCATCTGCAAATGTCAAATGCGTAATCTTTAACGGGACCACATTTTGGATAATAGTTGACTATTACTGTTTGTTACTTCTATTAAAATGATTGGGAAGAGAAAGCAACAAATAAGGTGGTGGGAGCTCAAAGAGAAGCCTAAAACCGTGATGAACGACCCAATAAGCAGTTAGAAGATAACAAATGGAATGGAGTTTTCCTTCCTCTTTGTATTCTCTAGGTAATAATGTTTGTCTGCTTATACCATGTTTGTCTGCTTATACCATTGATTATTACTGACACATTTTTATTTATTTTTATCGCTGTACTTATTTAATTTCACATATCATTTAATGTCACATTAACGCTACCTAAATTGAGATCGTAAACTAAGTGGAACTACGTAGCATTACTCTTTAATTATTTTAGTTGCTTTCAAGTGTAGAAGTGTGGAAAGAGATTTTTACTCTTCTTAAAATTTGTAAAATGAAAGTCAGGCGTTGACTAACTGATTTTTGGATGATTTCCATCCATGGATCCACGAACTGCACATTTATGTAAAGGCAGGGACTGCATTGTTAAAAATTAAAGGTTTGGAATCCATTGATACTTTTTGAAAAGATTAGGGACTCATATTGCAATTTTCGCTTTGATTTTATATAAAATAAAGTCATTTTCCTAAAATTTGTTAACGTAACTTTCAAGCATCTACTTCATAAACTATAAATTAATTTGACAAAAACATTTGATATTTGAAATTTGAATTTCATTTTTTGTCGTATTTCACCCTAATTCCAGGACAAGCTAGATTTTATTAGACATAAACTCACCCGCAATTTAATCTTAATTCCAAGACTCCCAATAGTTTTGTGTGTCCTCCTTAAATTGTAAATTACGACCACAAACATGGTATTCGATCATGTGAGATGATCGATGGCAATAAGTCAAAGTCGAGGTACTAATTTACCTATCCATTTTACCAAGTTGAAGAAGCTTTTTCACATTTCGTCTTGTGAAAGAATTTAGCACTTTGTCCCTATCAAATCGGATAAAAATCGACTCAGATTAAAAAAATAATTTTCTAGGGAACTTTTTTTTTTTTTTTTTTAACTTTTTGGCAATGGAAACAAATTTTAAAATCAATTATGAAAAAAATTATCACTTTAATGTACAATTTCCATATAAAACAAAGCTAAACGAACACATAATTTAAACAATTTTCAGGTGGAAAATTATAACAATCAAACACACTTATTTTCAATTCCCTGCAAAACAATTTCTAGGGAATTACTTTCCCTAGAATTCATTTTCTTTCCACCCATTGTCCACCATTGCAATCAAACGGACCCTTAATTCCAAGACTCCCAATAGTTTTGTGTGTCCTCCTTAAATTGTAAATTACAACCACAAACATGATATTCGATCATGTGAGATGATCGATGGCAATAAGTCAAAGTCGAGGTACTAATTTACCTATCCATTTTACCAAGTTGAAGAAGCTTTTTCACATTTAGTCTTGTGAGAGAATTTAGCACTTTGTCCCTATCAAATCGGATAAAAATCGACTCACATTTTAATGATGTCAAAAGATATGATAAGTTGACACCTACCCCGCCCCCCTCCCCCTGCACATACTTTGAATTTTCCTAGGTCGGTGAATCCCAGGATCAAAAACTAAAATTGTAAATAATAATAATGATGATGAAGCAAACTATCAATTTCGCCGCTCTTCATTGCTCTCCTTTATCTGATGACACTTTCCTCTACAAATTGACTGAAAAATCAGCTATGGATCTTTACAAAAGATTTCTATTTTATACTTTTGCGGCCTCACCACAAACCCTTTAAACAATTTCTTTTTCCATAATGTGCATCATATTGTCTGCCCTTTGCAGACACTGATAACGATACATCTCCAACTCGTGACACTTTCAGACAAATTGGGCCTTAAGCCCAAAAAGTCTGGGCCCATCTTAGTAATGGGCCACACAAATAAGTGCAGATTTATCGCAATCAATTCTAACGGCCCATAGCACCGCCCCCTACACCTATCAGAACGTGACCCACCTAGAGAACCACGCCTTATGCCACCGTGGGCCCCAGGCCTACTCGAGTTGTAACGTATGCATCTTGTGTGGTACTTACGTCTGCGTTTGCGTCATTATGTGGCGGTGGCGAGATTAGAGCTTTCACACAATAAAATATTCTCAATTTTTTTTTAATTTTTTAACAACACGTTTTCCAAAAATTCACTATTTAAAACAATATTTTTTTCAAAAAATGACCACCGACTAGATAAATTGGAAAAACATTCTGAAAGACTTTAATAATGGGAAGCTTACATTTGTTGACCTAAACATTTGGTATTTAAAATCACAATAGATTCGATGTGCGATTTTTGATTTGATTGATGTGCAAATCCTGTTCATATTTGAAGATTTAAATGAAATATCGATAAAAAAACTATTTGAAACTGTGATGGATAATCGACTGCACCCTTCAAACGAGTAAATGATCTGAGCTCTGGACTATATACGTATTTATATTTTGCTATGGTGGTTTCTAAATTTCATATACCGCATATTTATCTAATGGAGCTTAAATAAAATATCGATCACACACAAATCGATCAAGATTAAACTATTCACATGTGTTTCTTTTGCTAATTGAGACAAAAAACGTGTCGTGGCCTTGCCGTATGATTAGTGAAGGAAAATTTAAGATTAAATTATGAAGAATGATTGTTTATTTTGTTTCTTAT